ACAATCCTCAATTGAACAAATGCACAACATTGAAATTTATGGCCTCCAAGCAACACCGTAACCAAAAATCCACATAGTCGACAACCAGAAAAAAAAACGAGAATGAAGCACAGCATTCAACAAGCAAGACTACAAGCTGTGCTATCATGAAAAACAAGAATGAAACAACATCGACTACTTTAGCGAATACTGTCATGTGAGGAGAATAATCCCCATAACGAATGTCCGTAAAAGGATTGCAAACAGGTGAAAGAGCGAGAAAATTTTCAACAATAATTTCTCAAATGCTTGGAGCATTTGCTATGTGACACTGAACAAAGTCGAGTGTTACTAAAAACAAAACAAGAATAATAGCTACACCGGAACCACTCCCTAGGCGTTATGCGAGGACAACAAGAATAATTAATATGCAATAAAAAACGAATTCGAAACAGTTATAAGTGAAGAAAAATGCTAATTGACTTTTCTTCCCAATAAACAACAAAAGATGTCATAGGACGTTAGAGCAATCTTGTATTGTTGAGAAATCTAATTCTTATACAATCACCATCTGGGCATAAATAAGATGAAATTCAACAATCGACCGGCTCTTCGCCTTCCGTGTCACTCGAATAAGTACCATAATAACGATCTCCAAAGTTGCCCATTCCGGGAAGAACGTAGAAGTTATCGGAAATCTGAGGATCCACTGCGGTCGTTATGAGTCGAACCTATATTTTATTGGCTTACAAGAGGGATTGCAAATAGCGGACGTACATTTTTGCAATTCTGTTAATTATTTGTTAATCTTAACGGCGAAAACTAAACTTATTTGGAATGTATTAAAGAGGGACCACAACTTTAAAGCCAGAAAACAGAGAAAAAATCGTCGAGAACGCTTAGGTTATTGGCTTTGGTCGTACTCACCTTCACAATAGGTTCCACTAACGCAATGAGAGACTAAGCGCGTAGAGGTAAGTACGAGGCGAGAGAGCGCAACAGATGAGAGGAGGGAGACAGTTTACCAGTCCCATGAAAGAAAAAACTGCAGCTGTTCCATCTTCAGCTTCTGCAAAGCCCTAGCGCACTTGTAGGGTGATTTCGTGCATGGGTATGCCACATCAGTGGTTGTCCTTGAGGGTCTATTATCCAGATAGGAGATAATTAACACGACTTCTGCCCTGGTTGCGCCTTTAACACGTTGACGACAGCGTGACGCGGTAACGCGTCCCACTTTGCGCACCTCGTGGGACATTGTGACGCGGTAACGCGTCCCACCCAAGTCATCCCTTTTTCTTGCGCTTGTGCGACTTATTCCTAAGGTCTTTGTACTCATTCTATAGGTCATACATTAGCATACTTAAAAACCACATGGCTCACAGAAAGGCCAAATATTCTTTAGTTTGGCAGACGTTTTCCAGACCTTACGGATATGTCTGTTCAATTCATTCCTCGTTTTCTTTTCAATAACGTAGACATGTTGATAAAAAGGAATAATAGAAGTGAATACAAACCTATTCGTATGGGAAGAATATGTTTTTACTGAAACAACCACGTCCAAATTAATTTTGTAACCAGTAAAGGGAAATTAAGTAAAATTTTCCTTTTCATGGCCTTAACACGTCATTTCGGTCAAACTTCCATTACTGTAACTCCTGATAAGCTAGACAGATCGAACATCATTGAAAACATTTCATCGCATCTAAGTATTGCGGATTTACAACTTAAAATCCATGGATTTGGTGTGCGGCGGCTGCGCTCGCAAAATCGCTCTTGTCCCACGAGGTGCAAAAGCACAAAACGCGCGATGTCGTCAACGTGTTAAAATAGATCCACAGCTTGGAACGGATCTTCGAACGCACCCAATAAGTCATGCGTCACGTAGTAAAGGATAAATGTAAAGCACTCGACGTTGACCAAACAATCCCGTTTGGGATTCATATATTCCATTTACACTCATAACCATATGTATAGACATTTTGACAGGGCATCTATCCCGAAATCTGACGCGGCCCAACCGTACATGTCAAGCGATTTTTGTCTCCCAGAATGGAGCAATTGACCGCCTCCGGTCAGGAAATTGGGATCGTTGCCTGGCACGAGAACCTGCAGCTGAACCTCACTTGTGTAGACGGTCCCACTTGCACGTGCACCAATTTAATCAGGAAATCATGCAACCTTCATAAGTAGTTCGGCGACAAGAATAAGAAAATTTTCAGTTTACAGCGGTCTGAAGAAAAGCGAAGAATTGTCCATAAAAATGTACCTTTGGGAATGCGTATGCCAGAGCATGAACTCCTGGTTCTGACATGAGCAACGACAAGACATAAATGTTTTCTTCTGGCACGTCATGATCAAGAAGAATTCGAATCGCCATCATAGCTGCTGCGCCTGAACAGGATTTTTTTATGAATGTCAGTTTGACAAGGCAAACATGACGTTTTTATGTCAATGAAAGAATGCTCCCAACAAGAACAAGGACACACTAGAAATAGGGAGGGCGGCAAGTTCGAGGCCATAAGAATATGAAAAAACCAGGCATCAAAACCCAAACCCTCTCCTCTACCGAAAAAAAAAATCCGGAATGGTACACATACTAATATCAGCACCTAGACTAAGAGCGAACCTAGTTTTCAAAAAAGAAACATGTGAGGAAAAACAGCAGAACATGGTACAGGAGATGACTCCTCCAATACCACTTCCTTTCAAACCAGAAACTTAACGAACCAGTTGCGACTGTCGCATCCAAGAGCATGACTTTGTACTTATCAATATCTTTTGGCAATCGGAGGTAGTAGAGCTCAGGTTCCATCGTCTTGTCATTCGTTTGAATCAATATCTTTCCCATCTGAACCAGAAACTTCATAGCGCTCTTGAAAAGCAAAGTTTGGAGAGACAGCTAACAAGGCTTTTACCTTACAGTCCTTCACAACGGCACGTAGAGAGTTTTCCATAGTCTCTCCTGCTCTCATAATTGCGATGCCGCAAATTTGAGCGCATTGTCGACGTCCTTTGACTCTGTAACAGAAAAAATAACCCTATCTCTTAACTACTACAAAGGATACAGCGTGTCATATACCAATAACACCTGCCACACCACGGTAGTAGTAGTGTCTTTTGAGATAAGAGATCATAGGTTGGACTACCTTTGGCCATTGTTGAGTTCGATCTCTACGTCCATATACGGCATGAAGTTCATGGCTTCTTCGACAAGAATTCGTGTGAGGCGTTCGGAATAAAAAATCAATTCATCCCTGAAAATATTAGCTCTCAAGAATAGCCACTCTCCTGCATCCAGCCCGAAGACTCCCTACAGATTTTGAGTTGCGCGCGCTTGCCAGAAATGATTGCGCTTGTAATATCGATTCAGTGCTTCATCGCTTTGTGAGCGCTCGATCCAATACTGCCACATGCACTTGAACGGAATGATACCACTTGCACCGATAAAACATCGACAAGAAAAGGTACAACAAGCCCTACTGGGATATGGACAACGATTGAAAAAAGAAAAAATTCACGGAATCATTTACCTTTTCGTGTACTTGTTTCTGATGAATGTGTGCAAACCACGAACTTGTGGTGTTTCTCTAATAATGGTAAGACTGTCAGGCAGTTCATCAGGAAGTTGGCTCATATTCACCAGATCATGGCGACATTGTGAATGAGCTGTTTGGTCATAACCTGAGAATGGATCCTCAACAAGGGCGAAAGCAAACAACAACCAATCATGACTCACCCCTCTTCACCAGCTGGGTCATCACTTGCTTCGCAATGAGATTGATTGCCACATCATTGTCTCCACCCCGAGGAACAGATAATATCAGCGACCTTCATTCCAGGCGCGATATACGCTTCAAATGCCGGCTGTAATGTTGTCGGTTTTTCATCCACAACAATCCATCTCCACATGACAAATACGTGCTAAGCTTACAAAACCTGACAATTCTCAAAAAAACCAATACTGACTATGCATAACGCGCCTACTCTTTACCAATTCTGACTATACATACAATGTACTTTATTAATGCATGAGGTGGAGAGCAAACATCGAAAGGGAAAAATGCAAAGAATTGAGTAAGGACGAGGGGTGGTAACTTGACAAAGGTGGAAGGGGTATCCCATGTCGCCTAAATTTTTGCGAGTGTGGAGAATCGTCCCTAGTTCAATAAGAACCTTCGCTAGTACGGCTGCTTTCGAATGATGAGCAGATTCTATTCAGCCTCTCCGAACTCGAATTCGATTCGAAGAACCGTGCAGCTCAGCCTGACTAAGATTTGACCCCGGAAAAGGGCAGAGAAAAAACAGTGTTAACAGTTGGAGATGTATGATGAAAGGCAAATAGGTGGATGGATTTGGGCAGGGAGCATGAAAGCAAACAAGATGTGGCAGCAGCTCGCAAGCGAGCACTTTGCCATAGTGGCCATATAAGAGAGAAAGTTCCTTTCGTGGAATTGCTATTTCTTCAGTTCAACTCGAACAGGAGCATGAAAATGAGTAAAAATGATGGGATGAAAATCAGAAAAACTACAGATGAAAACATTTAGGCGACATTTGCGACTACTTTCACCATCTGCAAGCGACCACTAGTCAAAAGGTCACCTTTTTTTCAGCAGTAGGTGATTTATCTCAAGTAATCTAATTTCTCCAATAAACAATGAATAAGAAATGTACTCACCTTAACGAATCTAAAGTATTGGTCAAGCACACCAACAGTGTCACGACCACGTTCGTTGATATCACGATTAAGCCGACGAGCCAGGCGTACGTCACCATCCGTGTCCACAAATACCTTAAAAAGCGGAGTGTTTCAATAAATTATCGTAACGTCAACGAACAGAAAGCTAGGATACCTTCATGTCCATCATAGCAGTTATTTCAGGACGATGGAAAGCTAGAATTCCTTCGAAAATCAAGACGTCCGCGCCGTACATCACCTTAACCCTTGACATTTGGACACGAATTTTCCTCCAACTTCAGAAACCACCCTAGTAGTTTCTTATGAACCGCACAAATTCTGAATCCCACCTTTGGATTATTATCTCGAGCATGAGTAGTGAAATCGTAAACTGGAACTTCGCAACTTTTCCCTTCACGGAGCCGAGTTAGAACCTTGGAAAAGTTTTATATTTAACGAATATTTCCTCTTGTAGGGAACAAATAAAACCTCAAACAGTAAATCGAAATCGAAGGCGTTAGGATGATCAAAGTTGTAGTTAGATTCCTCAGCTAAAGCGTGCTCCTTCTCGTTCAATACCTACAAATGAAATGTCAAGAATAAACTGCCAAGCAAATCTATATGTATCGTACCGCATCTTACCTTGTAAAAACTGTCCATACTTAAAATCGTAACCCATGGTATCTCTAGTTTTTCGATGATTTTCTCCGCTACCGTAGTTTTACCGCTGGCTGAACTGAAAACAGAATAGTGCGAACAATGCAACGCTACCCTATTCCTAAAGATAAACTTAAATCCCTACAATATATTAGCGATAAACTTAATTTGGAATGATTATGAACGGGAGCTCTCAGTGAATGTCGAAAATCAATAATGATGCAACAGCTTTAGAAAAACTAACCCGCCACAGATGCCTATTACATACGGCTGCTTGAGTGTGTTTCCTCTACTGTCATACCATGGCGGCCTACCTTTTGTGTAGATTTTCTAAAACAGATGAGCTTCAACTCTGTACGGGCAAAGAAAATTAGAATTCATAGAAATAAGGATCTTTGGATGTTCCACTGGAGAAGTTTCATTTTAAATCTGAGGAGTTGGAACTGCACCAAATCCTAAAAGAATCAAATTGCAGCCACCTTAATTAAAGTTCATCAAGCAGTTCATGTAAAGGGTGAAAACCTCGCGTTGCCTAAAAACCTATCCCTACAGCTATGCGCGCTCGAAGAAGTCAAAATATTACTAATATATTTCCCCTGCATCTACGCATAGCTTCAGAGAAATGGTACTAGAATGCATACATGGAAATGGAAGCTATATAGCAAGAAATGTAAAAGCAACTCTAAAAACGGAGGGCAACACTAAAAACAAAAAATCTCTGAACTGAAAATGTCGGGGAATGGTTTTCAACATGTCATCCATTCCTCACCCTTCCAGTTCTTGTGAACATGTAGATGTCGACGACTCACCGCGATCTCATTAGAACTCAGCACATATCATATGCTGACTCGTTCGCAATCGCCTACGAGAAGCAGGTGGAGACGGTGAAACTCGAGGACACACTCCATTCACCAACTCATTCACCGATGAACCTGCATTTGTTCCATAAATAAATGAACATTGACTTGAAAGGAACTGATATGGGTACCAACAAAACATCAAAGGGAATTTCAAGCAACTATACAACACAGCTAGACGTGACTACATCTGCTTACCGCCGCTCTGTTTTTTCCTACAAACCTAGTGCTTCAAATGTGCACCGCTTTAGAAGAAAAATACATCTAAAATTATTCAGAAAAATGACCACTAAACCAGCTAAAGGTGACATTACCTGAGGAGTTACAATAGTCGAGAACATCTCCGATTTGCACGCTTTTCTGAGCCTTTTCATCATTTCCATTTTCATTGGCTCAGGCATACCTGACAAAAGTAGATGCGTAATTATTGAATCTCTTAATTCTCAATATACTGTCACGGAGACGAAGACCATACAATACGTCACAGTTGAAGACTATAGCACAAAAGCTGCAGGCATGTTAGAACTATAAAATTAGTTATCCAGAGCTACGACAAGACAGGAAAAATCAGTTTAGGATAAGTTCCGGAGCACAGAGGATGAAGTCTGTCTGCAATCCCCCTGCTCAAGTGATGAGATAAAAGGCCATTATGAGTGGAACAGGTTGGCAATAGGAGTGTAAACAGACGTTGTAGAAAAGGTCGGAAATGTAATACAGCATCACATAAAAAGGTTTGCGATGCGTAGGCAGATAGCACGATCAAACACACGAGGCAGATTGGCATTCCAAGAAGCTGACGGTGTTGGGAATCACGGAATAAAAGAACAGCAAACGACTTTAAGCTTGCAAAGAAAGAGGCTGCAACGACCAAATGGAATACGCATATTCATTTCAGTAGTACTCCAGCCTACCACGAACATTACATGGTCCTCAGGCATCGCATGATCCTACATGGGAAAAGAGATCTATGGGAAGGATTGTTTGTCAACCGCTAAAGGTGTTGATGCTTTGAACTAACATATAACCTCATTCCATGATGCAAGAGGATGTTACGGTAGCCAGTTTGCTGTAGGCGTCCAGAGTTTTATCTTCCCAGACAGGCTTTACATCAACTAAACCAGAGCAGCGCTCTTAGCAATTAAACCAGCAGCGCTCAGCACCACTACAACCCGAAAATAAAATGACATGAAGAAAAACATTACAGCAGCACAGCCAACAAAGCAAACTATTCGCAAGAACCATCTGAAAAAATGATCGTTCACACATATCCAATACCTTCACGCCGCATTAAGACCTTCCCAGTCCAGCAAACCTAACGCTTCGTAGAAGAGCACCACTTTACTTAGGAGAGAAGCCGATTCAACAAACCTCCTCAACAATGTCGGGTTCACTTACGCATTCAGTCGCTTAGGTGGAATTTGACTTCTCTACCAAGCACAGCGGATTGTTCGAGAATACCTCAGAGGAGGGGAGCATCGTGCAGTACATCGCGCCCTACAGTGTCCAAATTTCTGCAGGAGAGACCTTTTTTCGGAGCGTAAGGCCGGACGCATAGTCGGTCGGACGACAGCAACGACTGCAAGTGTCGCACAGCATTGGGTGCGTATCGATCTGCGACACCTGCGGTCGTTGCTGTCGTCCGACCGCTGCTGTCGCAGATCGATACGCACCCGATGCTGTGCGACACTTGCAGTCGTTGCTGTCGTCCGACCGACTATGCGTCCGGCCCTAAACCGCTCCGCGTCGCATCCCACCACTCCTCCCTCCTCCTTAAAAACCTCGCTATAACCATCACGCTTCGCTATTACCCCACCCAGCTTCTTCCCTTTGAAAACTAGGTATTGAAAGCAGAACGAACTCTTGAACCATAACCCCTCCCCCCATATTCGGACATAGATTAGTATGTCACGCAGGATATCAGCAAAGCGTGTTGGAAGTGGATTATCCACACAATATCTATCAAGTGCGGTGCTGCCACGGTCCATTCCGGTCCACGCCCAACTCAGGACCTTCCGAGCCTTCGAGGACTGTATATTGTACCACTTGCCCGAGCGACAGGTGCGAGTTCGAGTCCCGCCTGGAGCGAGAGTTTTGGTCGTTAAAATTTTTTTTCGGAAAAAGGAGCCTAGCTTCATGACTAAATCTTCTGCAGTTATGATCACACATGGAAAAGCTCCAGATAAAGCAAAATACAAAATTATACACACTTAAAGAACGGGGTCCATGAATGTACGACGGGGGAATCAAGCCAACACGATCCCAGCAGAGGTCTATCTGCTTATCACCTTACACCCCTCCAAGTCCCATAAACACACAAATTCGCAAAAAAACAACATGTAATATACAGTAGCCGAACCGCTAAACTACTCCTCTCCTAGCAGAACTTATGCGATCAAATCTCTTCTTTATGTCGAGAATTTTAGTCTCAAAATCACCCAATGACCAAACACAATCTACTGAAACATGGATCCATCTATTGGCTCAACGTGTAGCAGCCTACAGAGGCATTCACCTCACTCCTGAATATATTGCACACTTGCAGCCAGTTTCTGGACTACTGATGATCCAGCTGTGACACAGAAAATTTTGCTGGCCAAACTAGAGAAGTGTAAGCAATTGCGTATGGCATTAAATATAGTAGGGTCTCATCCAGTAAGGGGGGGGGCATGTGACAGTTCATATTGCATGAAGTAATCCACTTTTTTCAGGGGAGGGAAGCTCCGGGGTGGGTGTAAAAGTTAAGCGAAATGGTTCACGCACCCCGGGGATTCCCTCCCCTTGCAAAAATTGGAATTTCTGTAGCCGGCAAGAACTGTCGCACCACATGCCCCCTTACTGGATGAGACCCCACAGTAGAAGTCAAAAAGGAGACAAAATCAACAAAAGAAAGCGTAATTGTAGTTGAAAGGAGGGGCATTGTAAGTCTCACACTTGTAGGGGGCAGATCGAGGTGCTGTAGCAACGTTCTTCTGTGCGAAGAGGAGGCGAGTAAACAAAAAGACGTATGAAAGACGGCTGAAGATGACGAGAAAGTACTACAAAAAAATGCAACATTCCAACGTGTTCAGATGCAATTTCACTGGCTGCATATTGCCCTGGGTGGGTACCGTTTCGAAATAGAACTCTCCATTCATCTAGCGACTACATTATGCAAAGCCACAGTCCTACTTTGCAATCGCCTTACAGTTTGAGTGTGGAGTAGATACGTATCGATCTTGTAATCTTGCGTCACATACGTCTTTACTCCAGAGGCCGGTTTCAGACTTTACGAATCGAGTTCTGACACTGGCCATACTGGTTACAAGGCTTCTGTCAACCAAAGGGTGAGAGCGTAGCTGGAAAAGCACACACTTTGTGTCTTATTGGGACTAAGCCTTTTGAAGAAGATAAAGAAAGAGGAGATGCTGTGATAGTGTGCACTTGTGAGAGCTCCCAGACATCACTACAAAACGCTCCAAGGCTCACGGTTGACCGGCCATACTCGAACTGCAAACGAAGTGCAAAGTATGGCCGAGGAATAACCAGGTGAAAATATCTCTGAT